AAGCCTCGCCCACCCACAGAAAAACTGGGACTTTGTGAATGAGTTATACCTTTGATTAAAATAATACCAAGGTCATGCAGTCGAAACAGACATTGCAATTCTGGGCCCTAAGTCCGTTGAGCATGATATCAACGTCTTCGACACTATTCATTTTCTGGTTTCTTTTTTCCAGAGCCCGAAAGGCAGACGACTACACTAAATAAATCGTACAAGTACTCCGTACTAACAAGATCACTCAAGATCTCTCATCATATGCATCACGGGAGAAATTTGCTACTCGAAGAACGCTTGAAACAAGATATAATAATTGATAATAGAAAAAGTACATTCCATAGTAACCCGAACCGGAGTTTTCATATCAACGCACAATGGGAGGGATGAAACACTGGAACACCAAAAACTGCTTGTCCTATACATTCACCTCACACCATAGGTGATTACTTACTTCATCGAGAACTGAATCGTCTTGGTCATCAGCATTCGACTGTAGATGAGTATTACTTGAGGGTTGTGATGACTCTTGTCGGCCCACATTGCCACGCTTTTCCCCCGTCTCCCCGTCTGTAGTAACAACTTTGGGGCGAGTTGAGTGTGTTGACGGTTGGCCATCGACAGCGGTATCGGAATCCAAGCGGGGCTGTTTTGCCGGTGACGGTTCGGTTACATTACCCGAAACGTCTCGACGGGTAGAACCAGATGTGGAATGTCCCGATTCACGAGCAGCTCTACGTTCATCCTGAGAAGATGTGTACATGGATATGTGTATAAATGGAGAAAGTGATGACTTGAAAAGGGATTAGCATTGAGAAAACCATCAGGACACAACGATATTGCTCATATGCAAGCCGATGTACCGTCGAATATGAAAACAGTCAAATTTTTGAACAGGCCAAAGGTAACAAAAGACTAAACGATTAGAGTTTGTGCAGAGTCAGGCTTTGAAGATAATGTTAGCTGTAATATTTGCTGTCTTCGTAGCCCGAATACAATAACTTGATGTTCAGTGGTTTTACGAACTTGGCAATTACACTGCAAAGGTTTCTTTATCAAACGATGTGAAGGAAGATTGGAATGTTGAGTAGATAGCGAATTTACATGGACTAAGCTTGCGAGACTAATGAGATGTACGAGCGCGACTGTTTATGACTTTCAGTCATATCACTCAGCAGCTCTAACCATTGATTACAATGATCACGAGGTAGCCATCCAGGAAGTTTTACGCGACCTCTATGACCGAGTTTGCAAAGGAACATGCCAGGTTTTAGTTTGAACAGCCTTGACTCTTTTGCACCCACCACCAGCCCTGTAAAATATCGCGCACCGTGGTAATCTATTTGGTGACACGAGTAGCACATGTCCCAGCCAACGCAATTTATGGAGGTTGATTCCTTGAGCCAGTGGACGACCGCGACCACTTAAAACTATGCACCTAACCCCAGCATTGTTTATCTGATTGCCCTAANCGAACAAGAAGTTCATATTTATCCTGTTTCCGTGATGGCCAAGTTTCTGAACCGCAAAGTAGTACCCGCCGAACTGCTGTAGCATACACTCTCCCCTTCACAGACAGCCGGAAGTCGCAGCGGTGCCACAGATATCACAAGTTGGCAAATGCCGATTGAGCCTCCTATAGGCGAGCCAACAGTTCAACCACTGTGCGTTCACTGGATGAGAAACTGCTGCCCAAATACGAAACTGTACCTTGATAATAGTGTGGTGGCTTGAGCCCCTCCGTGACCCTGCGAGCTACACAGAATGGCTCCTCACAGTCGCAGATCCAAGCATGCCTGAAAGGTCAATGGGTAGAGGCCAGAAGAAGCCCATTCTCACAAAGCCCGCTGCTTGGGCACCTCCTGGCTTCCTTTGTCTATTCATTCTTACCCCTGGAGAAGTTAATCCAGTGAGTAAACATGGACGTAGGAGCGGGGTACCTGGGGCTTCCTCTCGACGGTGGAAGAAGTCTTCGCACTTCATTGGACGGCTACCGCCCGCCCATATTGGGCAGACAATAACCAATAAAGTGCTGTCATATCCCCGTTCCGCTTGTCTCATTCGGTGCCTGAAACTGAAGGCTAATCCCGAACAGCGGACCGACATTAAACGCACCAGCGAACAACACACTGAACCAAAACCCTAAGACAGCGTGACAGGTCTCTGGAAGCTCCCAAACGGGTGTTTCGGTTACGCTCCCAAGTTGGACCTACGCCCCACTGCCTTGTGGGTCGGAATTTTCAGTCGAAGGCTCCGGTCAGGGTTCCCAAAGAAAAACCCCTTCGTTGATGTGGGCTACCGCGAAGTTTATCGTGCCCTGAAGTTCCAGACACCCATCTGTTGAGCTTTGCTTCTCACTCCAGAATCATTCCAGGTGCCTCCTGTGGTCTTCCATAAACATTGATTCTCGTGTTTTTCAGGGTTCTATTCTGTCTTTATTCTCTTTTTCTATGTTTACACAGAAGTTCCCAATTCCCATAACTTTATTTTTGGTTGACGAAATTGTGGTTGGTTGCTCAGCCTCTAGTCAGAACAATCTTCGCCGTTTACAGGACAGAACTTCAAGAACTTCACGAATGATTTGTGCCCCCATCTATTGTACTCAACATCAATAAGAGAGCACTGATGTTCCTTTCAGTCTTAAAACCGGTTCCGTTATCTTGTATTAGTAAGGAATATGCACAACCCACAATCAATAGCCAGAAAATTGTCAAATCTGATTTTGTTAAATACCGCGGTGCCACCCTCCCATTGGTCAATTAGTGTACTTTCTTCTTCTCATTCAGTTCTTTCAATGTAAAATCATACAAACGGTGTAACAGGTAATAGGGACGAACAGAACGACAATCAGTCATCACTTACGTGACCCCCATCGCCTGGGAGTTCACGATAATTGGCGGGCATCGTCCACATAGAACTACCATTTGGAGAATTACCTCTGCAACTTCTAACGAAGCTTATGAGCGTAATTTTTCTGAATAATTTAGGTAGAATCTTGTAAGTGTCTCTAATTTGAACTATTGCTTTCTTAATTAGGACAACAATGCACATCATCAGCAAAAATACACGCGAACAACAACGTACCTCAATTTGTAATTTCTCTGTTAAAATGACCTTCAAATAATCTTTCACCGAACGTCCAGGGGGATGCCAATTAATGTAAAAATAGGGACAACGCCGAGAAAGACAACGAAGTGCTCGCCAGCACCATTCCTCCTTGTTGATGTACCTGAATAGACAAGACAAACGAAAACAAAGTGAGAATACTGGAATACCCAAACATTACCAGGTAAATGTCGTTTTGTATGTAGCTCCCCTTCTCAGATACCGGAAATTTACATTCCGTGGAGTTAAGTGCTACAGGGTTTTTTTGTTTGTTTTTTATTACACAATGTGAATTACAGTAAACGAGGAAGTCCCCATGGGCAAATAGTATACTGCAAAGGGGAGAGTAAGGGTATATTCACGTAAGGTCCAGTTTATTGATTCTGCGTTTAAAAAATGTAAGGAGGAGGGTGTTTCACGGTTTCGGAGTTCAGGGAAAAAAGAAGATTGGAGTAGAGAGGTACGACATCTGAGAACAGAAACCTGATAAGGATGCCTAGATGCCTGTATACAGGATGGACGGGTAAAAGTTGCAGAATGAGGAACTGCCGCGGCAAGTTCCGAAGAACAAACACCAAAGTAGTAGCGGTAGAACAGAGACAATGAAGCAACTGGCCGACGATGGGCTAGCGACTGTAGACTGGATGTTAGGGAAGGATAATTGATTAGCCGGATGGCCTTTCTTTGGACACGATCAAGAGGGGAAAAGGAAGAAGATGAAGCTCCACGCCACACGTGACTACAGTATTCAAAAGCAGGGGGATTTGAGCTTTGTACAATAGAAGAAGATGAGCTGGGATGAAAAAAGGTCTGCCGCGAAATAGAAATCTAACCTTGCGCGCAGCACGAGAAGCAAGCTTGGTTATAAAAGGGTATCAGCATAAAGAAGT